AGTTGTGTGCTATATCAAAATGATGATAGAGGATTTTCAACTATTAAAAATATCTGCAGATGTACTCAATATTGGTTTGGGCAATATTAAATCATAATTTTAATGTCTGAATAAATTAGCAAAAAAATTCTTACTGTTAAAAAGTATTGATTAAGATAGGTAATACTTCATGGGATATTATTTTATATTATATAGCTTTAGTTTTCCCATTCAGTGGATTATATTCCTTTATACTCATCGTTTTGTTGGAATATCTTTTGAAACTTGGAATTATTTAGTTATTTTAAGAAATGTTATGGAGTTTTAGACTCCAGATGATTCTTCATTTTTTTGGATGATGCTGTGAGTTGGAAAGTAGTAATGAAAATAGCTATAGAAGCTTTTATGATTTTTTTTCTTATTTATTTCTAAGAAAGTATCTCTTCATTCAGAAAAACTTGGAATGAAATCTTGGGGTACTACCCTTTGTCCAAAAAAAGTATATGTAAAAATATTCTGGGATAGTTGTTACCATGTTACAAGGAAAGTATGGGAGTTGTAACATCACTGTCAGGCATCGTGTGTTCACAGTACACATATTTTAAGTGAAAAAAAGTTATAGTTATTTCGAAATTAAGCGACGTTTATTGTGTCAACCTGTAAGTCACCTTCCAGATGGAGAATTGGAAGTATTGTAAATAAGTTATATAATCTCTTCTCAAAATTAAAGCCAGCTAAGTGATTAGTAAAGTTGAAAACAATTAAAAATGGCATGTTTCCTCAGTGGTATCCAACTACTGAGAATTCATAGTTGTCTTTGGAAATCTATTTCTTCAATTATTTTAGTCCTCAATATCCTCTACTTTTTCTAAAGGTTTCATTGTTCTTTTGCATTTTGACAAGAGTTTACTGTTTGTCACAAAATTTCATTTAATAAGATAATCTTTTTTTAAAAAAAGATTTATTTGTTTTTATTGGAAAGTAAGATATACAGAGAGGAGAAAAGACAGAGAGGAAGATCTTCTGTCTGATGTTTCACACCCCCAAGTGACTGCAGTGGTTGGAGCTGTGCTGATCCAAAGCCAGGAGCCAAGAGCCCAGGGTTTTGGGCTCTCTTCAACTGCTTTCCCAGGTAGTCTTTTAAGAAAAATGAAATATATTCCAGGATGGTTTTTATCCTATGACTCTCTCAGATACCTTATTTTAATTAAAATATGTGTTTAACTAAAACCCTTTGTTTACTGGATGGCTTATTCAGTTATTTTGTGATTGATGTAAAAAAAAATCATGGAACAGAAGTAACATGTCATGGGCATTATGAATGGTAAATTCTGGTTATCAGGGTGTTCCTGAAATTGTGATGTGATTGCTTCCAAACGTGGAAAAACTTGAGAAAATACAAGAATACAAAGTATATGCAAAGAATGTGCATGTGATTGTGAGAGGGAAATTTTTTGTTGAACTCTCTTCGAATAAAAATAATTTGAAATATCATTGTGATGTAGGATTGTGAGGACTTATTAGGATCAGATAAACATGCTAGTAGAGAAGGGGTCCTTATGGGCTGGAGATCTGTGCTCTAGCTAAGTCCTTTCAGGTTCTTCATTCATAAGGTGAAACTAACAAGTTTACTTTATCACAGGCTTGTTACAGGATTCACTGAGTTGTTCCTAGATCCTTACATAATAAATGTTCAATAGACATCAGCCATTGTGAACATTATTATTATATTGTTCACATTAACCTTATCATTATTATTATTATTTATACGACACGTTCTTGTCCCTCTGAAGAGCCTCAGTATATTAATTTCTGAGGCAGAATTTTGGACCACACATCTTTCAAGCTCTGAACTGTGCTGCGACGTTATGATTCATGAAGCTGGAGAACTGAGTTCCCAGATGTTCACCAGATGACTGAGGAAGCAAAATGAATTTTAGGAATGTTCGAGCAAGACTGTACAATCTGTGAGTCAAGACTTGTGCAACAGTGGAGTGGATTTGTGGGAAATAGGAAGGAGTAGAAAGGAAAGGAGTATTGCATTGTACAGCGAATGGTGACGTGGCTGTTAAAAAAAGAAAAGAGCAGTGGGCACCACAATTGACATCAGAAGGCAGAAGGGGTTATTGCTCCTGGCCTCTTTCTAGCAAGTACCACAATCTAGGCACAAAGGTTCCTGGGACTGGTCGCCTCTGTTTGTGAGAGGGGTTATATGCTGTGAAAGATAGCTGTGCTCTGAAATGCTGAATAGATTTGAAGTTCAAGATCTCCTGCCATGTGGGGAGTTTGTGCTTTAAATGCTCCATAGTTTTATATAAAAATAATCCCCAATCTGCTGTGCCGGCATGCTGTGTATGTGCCATGTCATGTCCCAGCTTCCCTGCTTCATCTTTTTTTTTAAGATGCATTTATTTTTGTTGCAAAGTCAGATATATGGAGAGAAGGAGAGACAGAGAGGGAGATCTTCCGTCCACTGATTCACTCCCCAAGTGACTACAATGGTCAGAGCTGTGCTGATCCGAAGACAGGAGCCAGGAACTTCTTCTAGGTCCAGCAAACATAATTAAATGAGTAATATCAAAGCAACAATCTTTAATGGATTACATTTTGTTAGCTTTAAGTTACACATTGTAAAAGCCCCAATATTATAATAAATGGGAAAAGCTCCTTGCTTTGTCTGGCTTGTACTTTTGATAGTTGTAGAAGGCGGACTATCCCTTTCCGGTTTTAAATGTGATCTCCATTTCCTAGATAGAGTATTGCCAAGTTGGTTTTAAACTTACTACATAAGAAATTGTAGTAAGTATTTACTTTATTTGAAAAATATTTTTCTTTTGGGTGATTCAGTGGAGTTCAAACTTTTCATAGTTGTTATCACAGGGTAATATAATACCGCAAAAATCACATATCTTTTGTAAAGGTCGATTCATTTGCTTTGTCTGTTCATTTTGCATCTTATTTGTGATATATTCTTAGCATGCAGTAATAATAGGAACTTAACAGTATGGTAATCCTCACACTCTTGCTTTCATTATGCAGGAATTAGCTGGAGTTTTCAATTCAGCAAGATACACCTCTGTGTAAGCATTAGTATTAATTTTTTACAGTATGAAAGTTAAAATTAGAACAGTTTTGTGCAGCCATGTTTCCATTTCTTTTATACTTTATTTTTTCCAAAGATAAGGAACCAAATTTGTAGCACTGCCCAAATGTTAAAAATATGTGGATTCCCAGTTGTCATAATATGCAGATTACAGAGCAGGGTCTTGAATGTGTGCTGTGATTTACTCAGGTGTGTCTACGTACAAATTTGGTCACAAAGGAAGAAAATGGCAAGAATTGCATACAGGAAATACAGGGTTTTTTGAGCCTCCAATTCTGCTTGAAATATTGAAACTGTGTGACTGTTTGAAATAGTTTTTTTTTTTAACCTTATAATACTCCATCCATTTTCAAATGCATTTCAAATAGAGAGAGATGTATTCTAAGAACAAAATGATGTGAAATATTTAGGACTGTGGCATTTAAAAATAAATAATGTTTATCAATTAGGGTTTGTACATTTAACATACAAATAAACATTTTAGGGATGATTTTAGATTACTAAAATATCCATATTTTTTATGCAAATAATCAAGGAAAAAAAAGGTTGGAGGAAGGATAACTGGTTATCAGGCTTTGTACTGAATTATGTGTCTCCAATACAGTTTTGTAAATAGGGAAACAGGTGATAATGTATTCAAGATTAAATGTCCATTAAACAGTATAGATGTGAAATAAGACAAGTGATGTAAAATAATTTAGGGGACTTTAATTTTCTTTTTTTTTTTTTTTTAAAGATTTATTTTTATTATTTTTTCATTGGAAAGGCGGATATACAGAGAGGAGAGACAGAGAGGAAGGTCTTCCGTCCAATGATTCACTCCCCAAGTGAGTGCAACGGGCCGATACTATGCCGATCCGAAGCCAGGAGCCTCTTCCGGGTCTCCCACACGGGTGCAGGGTCCCAAAGCTTTGGGCCGTCCTTGACTGCTTTCCCAGGCCACAGGCAGGGAGCTGGAAGGGAAGCGGGGCTGCCGGGATTAGAACTGGCGCCCATATGGGATCCCGGGCGTGCAAGGCGAGGACCTTTAACCACTTGCGCCACCGCGCCGGGCCCCGGGACTTTAATTTTCATATATTTCTGTTCTATGATCTATTTTGGAATATATAATTAATTATCTGTTTCATTTCACTAAAGTCGGTAATGATGATTGTTGTACTATTTATTAGTATTATAAATATCCAATTGTGATTGTGATAGTGTATTAATAACCTCTTGTATTTTTCAATAGGTTTAAGGATAAATGATAATCCCCCAATCCAATAACTGACCACATATAAAGGTTGCTACTGTTATCATGGTTACTTTTTCTAATAATTTTCAAAGTCCATATTAAGAGATAAACCACAGAAAATGATTTTGAATATGATCACTTTGCAAATTTATATCAAGTTTGAATGATTTTGAGAGCGTTTAAATTGTTATGCAGTATTACAAGGAAATATTTGTAAATTACTTATTCCTTAATTAAAATTTATCTGAAATTACTATTTATTTTAGTGGTATTTTTTCTGCGTTCACATAATTCTTTCAATTACAGGAAGAACTATCCTGATGTGTCATGTAAGTTAAAAATAGAATCAGTTACATTCACTGGCTAATGGACTAGAAAAATATAGACATTAAGGAGAGAATGAATGCAAGTTAAAAATAAACCAAATGCTGTGTGAGCACCAAGCACAGGCTTGCCCACTGTTCCAAGAAGAACATTGAATTATCCCTCATATATGTTTAAAGACAAATCTTTATTAAATTATAGATGTCTGTAAGCAGATATATGTTTTCAAAGCTGTTTTTTAAGCAAGAAGTGTTCGTTGCATTTTATTATAATAAATAAATGTCTCTTTTGCTGAAGTTTAGAGATAAGGACTGGGTGAGTATCTGTATCGGGTCTAACAGTTTAATCTTGTTCCTGCAGTACTACGGGATGACTTCAGACAAAACCCTTCTGATGTCATGGTGGCAGTAGGAGAGCCAGCGGTCATGGAATGCCAACCTCCGAGAGGCCATCCTGAGCCTACTATCTCATGGAAAAAAGATGGCTTTCCCTTGGATGACAAGGATGAAAGAATAACTGTGAGTAACTACTGCAAGAGCAGGGAATACCTTAGCTCTAACAATGTATCTTTACGAAAGAAAAAGAGGGAAAAAAAGGTTGAATGTTTTAACTATAGCTTTGAATTGGCAATCATTTCAGTTCTTTCTTTTGATAAACATTGTCATTTACCCCTGTGCTGACATCAAAATATGGGGAGAAAATGCATAATGTTTAGTTTAAAGACCAGTTTGAAAAAATACTCTTTTAATGTCTTAGAGTTAACACTTTTATATATGACTTAACTTGGCACTAATAGCATTCCCATATGTTACAGAAAATAATTGTTTATGAAAAATTTACTTTCTGGTATATTTCCAGAAAGCCTCCTAAGTCACTCCGCTGTTTTTGTCTCTTTCTTTTCTGTAAATTGCTTGTCTGTTCTATTGAGTTCAAAATTGCTTCTGAAGTCTCATCTTGAATGATGGTTAGTGATAAATTTATCTCATCGTGTGACTAGAATATTGAATCTCAAATTCCTGCTCTGATATAAGTAGACAATTATGTGATCTGTATTTTTATGTCAGGAGGCATTTTCTTCTTGACAGCAGTGGTTCCATGTGACTTGCTGGCTTGTTCTGTCTTGTGAAATTTTCATTAAAGCACCTCAGTCATCAAGCTTTCATTGATTCTGTGGTTATGCAATATTCTCTTTTATTGTGTGTTTGGTTTGTACGCACTTCTATCAGTTCATTGGGATTCAAAGGTTCCCAATATACGATGCTGAATTTGTAGAAAAACACAGTCATGAGAGAGACAGCTTAAATCTAACACATGCTTATATTATTTGTAAACAGGCAGTTAACATGATCACGTGAAATTTGAATTGTATCGAAACTAAAGATGACTGCAGCAGGCCTGGTTTTAGAGTCCTGAAAGAAAATTAAGCACTTATCCTGTACTGATATGAATCCACAAAGTGGGTTTCTCAAAGGATTTTTATAATTCTGGGGATTTGGTTGACTGACCCTGCTCTACTTTTAAAAGGTGCTGAAAACTCACGTAGAAATTCAAACTCAATGTGGAAACACTGGTTTTAGCAAATCAAGTCAAAACACAGGGATTGGAGATTGTGCAGCAGTTGCTTCTCTTACTATTGATAATATTTGTTTTTTGTTTATGACAATTAAAATATTATGATTTTGCCTTCACTTAATCTGGACAATCTAATACCCATTATCTGTAATTCTCTTTCTTACTCCAATGATCAAAGCACACTGAAATTCTTATTATTCCTGAGTTCCTTCATGTCTTTCCTGGTTGTACAAGACATTTTCGATCCCACAAAATTCAGGATTAAGAAAAAAAATGAGGATTCTGTAATCTATGCATGTGTATTCACACAAAGTATATTTGACTTAATGTACTATAGAAAACTAAGTGGCTAAAAGGCACATCAAACAATAAATAGGAAGCATTTTGGGTTGAAATGTTGAATAGGCTGATTAGAGTCTGCATGTCTGAAAAATTTGAAGAAGTTAACTGTAGAAAATAAATGATAGAAATAGGTATAACAACTTAAATATGATAAACATACTACTTCAAAGACCCTAAAGTGGTGCATACCTAATACATCTTTAAAAGAAGAATCAATGTTGGTTGACCAATGTGCGCAAAGGAGAGAGTTGTAGGAGATGTCCCCAGGTTGGCAGGAAGCAAGTAACCCACCCTCAGTAGGGCCTCACAGACACTAAATAACTTGGCTTTTTCTCTGCCTACAGAGAAAAAAAAACTCAGTTAACTTTCTCATCACAAAACTCAGTTATCTTTAGAAACATTTGAAGGATGGCCTTTGCAAAAGGGTGACCAGTTAGAAACTTTCCTGGTGATCGAGGCAAGAAATAAATGGCAATTAGGCGTGGAGGTATTCAGAAGTCATTAGATTCTGAAAACACTACATAGCAACAATCAACCAACTTTGCTGATGGATTTTGTGTAGCTTGTAAGAAAGAGTTGAGGATTACGTTAAATGATTGACTTGAGTAAGTGAAAAATATTGATACGGTCAGCTGAGATGCCACTGATTTGAGCATATTTAAGGTGTGAAGCACAAAGGTACTCCAGGGAAATGAAAGCAAAGTGTATACGTTTTACTTTGGTGCAAAAAGGGTATGAAATACATGCATATAAGGGGTGTTTAAAAAATCTATGAGAGAAAACAGTATGGCAGAGCTGGTAAAGCCACCATGTGCAGCACAAGCATTCCATATGGGTGCTGATTTAAGTCCCAACTCTTCTGTTTGTGATCCAGCACCCTGCTAATGCATCTCAGAAAACTGTGGAAGGTGGCCCAAGTGCTCGGGCCCCTGTGTCAGTGTGGGAGACCTGGAAGAGTCTTCTGGCTCCTAGCTTTAGATTAGTCCAGCTCTGACTGTTGTGTCCATTTGATGAGTGCGCTAGTAGCTGATGGAAGATATTTCTCTCTTTCTGACTCTCCCTATCTCTCCATGTCTGTAACTTTGTCTTTCAAATAAATAAATACATTAATAAACAAATAAATAAATACATGTTTAAACATTGTGAGCAATGAAGATTAGGATTCTTTTTAATATTCACCAAAATTTACAGTTTAATTCCATGCTTCTATGAACATTTTTAAGTCCCTTTGTATCAGATGCTCAGATTTATACATGAACATTTGGAAATACTTAATTACATGTAAATGTCAAATACACAGTTGGATGAATGAATCAGAATTTCCAAGTTGAGGTTGAGACTAGAGGAACAGTTCTGTTGTGGTAGACATACTCATCACTGTGGAGCCCTCCCCTCTGTCTGGGTGGAGGAAGGTCTCTGCTCCCTAGCTTCAGACAGCTCTGTCTCACTATTGCAACGTCAGGGGCTCAGACAGAAAAACAGGAAAATGAAATTCTAGTATGGCGGAACTTTCTATTCACTATAACTGAAGTTGTGTGTGTGTATGTGTGTGTGTGGGGGGGGATGTGCGCGCGCTCGTGTGCGTGCACTTGCACCACAGCACAGAGGGCACTGACAACTTGAGCCCAGAAATTATATGCAGGGGACATTCCGTTCCACGCTTCTGTCTTCCCATGACAGATGTGTAGGATGAAACAATAATAAATCTTTAGTGTTCCCTTTTCTAATTTGAGAAGCAGAGAAAAAGAGAGAAAGGCCCCGTCTGTTGATTTGCTGCCCAAATCTTACAATGGCTGGGGCTAGGCCAGGGCAGATTTCGGAATCAGGAAACTCGGTCCATGTTTCTCCTGTTGAGTGGCAGAGGCCCAAATCCTTGAACTACCAAAACTGCCTCCCAGGTTGTATGTTAGCGGGAAGCTGGAATTCAAGCCAGAACCAGAATAGATACTCAAACATATCTTAACTTGTAGGTCAAACATCTGCTCAAAATGAAAAGTTTTGCTCTATAATGTCATTGGAATTTTATTAATTACAGAACAACATAGCGCATCCTAATGTGTGTGGGGGGGTTGTTAGTGTACATATGTTGTTTAAATTCAGCAGACATAGCTGATCAAGGGGGTGCAGGTAGAAAGGAAAGAGATATTTAATTACAAGCACAGGAAGGAGATGCCAAAAGAGCACCAGAAATTTAGGCGATTCCAGAGAAAAGAAGAAAACCAAGTCAAGAGTTTTAAGGAGATGACAGTGACTGAGTAGATTGAAACCAGCAGATCAAATGATGTGAAGACTGAGATTGGACCGCTAGATTTAACTGATCAGTGACAAATTGCAAGTGATCTTGACAAGTGCCTTGTCATTGGAGCTCTGGAAGTTAAAATTTCCTGACCAACTTCTAAAGCAGACTGGAAAGACTGAAGCTGGACACAGTGTGTAGATTATTCTTTTTTATGATGTAGCTCATGTAGTTTTGCCAAACAATATGCAACCTAGTAAGTAATTTTGTTGTAAAACCCCTTAATGGGGTCCACTCAGGTCCACTCACCTGACATACAGAAAGCCAATCACTGACATCAGGATGGTAGAATAAAGTAGATATGTATTGTAAAATGCAGACCTGGGAGCTGGGCAGCTAAGGCTTATTTCCCAGGCTCTCTGAGGAATTAGGGTGATGGTTTTTAAGATTGAAATCAAGGCTGAGAGAAGTGATCAGCTAATGTTCAAGTTCCCAGTTGGTCACTGACGCTTGTAAGTATCCTCTGATTGGTCTATAATCCAATGCTCTTTAGGGAATTTATATTGGCCAGGAGGTCTCCTTTTGGTCTGAAGGTTACATGAAAGTGGCACTTGCATTCTTCTCACACCTACAATTTCCTTACACAGCCACCCAAGGACAACAGTGACCGTCATAGTTCTTACCCATTGGAGAAGCAAATGACACTTTGATCCTAGTGATTAGAACCTTATAAGGCCAGATAGATAATCCCATTAAGTCACTGAATTCCTTTTCATAAAACGAGCACACCTTGGACTAAAAGACATACATGAGTCTGGGACCTGCTTTTACAGTATAGAGATTCAGTTTCAACATTAGATAAAATAATAAAGGTGACTATAATTTCACATTTTGAGATGTGTTAATTTAAAAATTATGGTTGCAAACTGTGTGTATGTTAATTACTGTGACATCCCAAGCATAAAACTGCTATAGAAATATTCAGTTAAGAAATCCTTCAAACATACTATTATGGCACTTATTGAGTTGGAGAAGTGTTTCTGATTTGTGCCAATGCATTCAGTTAATTATCAAATCTTCATTTACTTTTATGATGCAGAGGGATATTTATTCCTTTACCCCATCCATTAGCTTAGGTTCAGTCTTGGAACTATTTCCAATCAAGGATCAAGCCATTCAAAGTTGTAATAATTTATGGTCATGGAATTATGCCAAGATGCTCATGTATAAATAATTTTTAAATTGCTTAAGTGCTGCCCTAACAGTGGTCCATGGTGGTGGTGGTGCTCCATATGCTGGAAGTTGTAACTTCTGGAACTGTTACTGTGTCTCAAACCATCTGTGTGTTTTCCATACAACATGACTGTT